ATTGAAGCGAAATCGAATTGAAGGAGGAACGTTGGAGCGTCTTTGATTTAGTCTACGCTGCTCATTGATTTCGCTCGTTGAAGGAAACAGAAATTTCATTTCTCCTTTTTGCGTTGAATGAAGAGAGGAGGCTGCTCTAGTTTTCTATCATGTTGGGTTTGGGCCTGGCCCAAATTCAACCTCTTCTTTTCGAACTTGAACTCTGTTTTGGCCTTTTGCTGCACTTTTCTCTAAAAAAAATAAGATATCTGATAATTTTGGGTTAGGAAAAATAAAAGAAAAATTATAAAGCGTAAAAAAAAGATTAAAAAGCTACGATTTTTAAAAGAAAATAAAAAGAATGTAAAAATGAAAATTATAATAAAACTAAGCTAAACAACTAAAAATTAAACTCTAAAAATATTAAAAATGCCTAAAAAAGAATAAAAAGAACTAACCAAAAAACGACTTATCAGGAACTTACCACTTTCAGTGATAAAGACCTGCCTAGAACTCGATAGACATTATTGGCGTGGACGTAGCAAGATATCTCGTTGCCATGAGGAGCAGCATTACCATTTTGTACTTGAACACTTTCAAGAAGTTAAAGGTTGATCGGTCCAGACTAAAGTTGTAACACCTAGAAACACGCCTTAAAAGTTATATTGAATTATTATAAAATTAAACAAATTTATTTTGATTAAAATAAATTATTGTTAGGCCTTGGGCCAAATCTGAATGTATTTAATAATGATTGATTGATATCCAATATCATATGACTCTATAAGTATCATAGAGATAAATCCAATATTTTGTAAGTGGGCCTGATTGTAGACCTAGAGGACGAACCAAACAAAGATTAAGTTGATTGATGATGTGAACTCCTGAAATGACTTATTAAAATTGAATAATATTAATTGAATGTATGAACCTTTTTGAATAAAGGTTAATTAAATCAATTTTACCTCAGTCAAGTCAAACATCCAAAAATATACTGTTAGTAAAAGTATTTCAAATAAACATAAAAGTTATATAGTTGCATAAAGCTTGACTAGCAGATCACAACAATATAATTAGATTTCTATTTAGGGAAAACTAGACTAAAAAGTGTGTCCTAACGAGGAAAATTTAGTCATAATTAGTATAAAAATCATATCACAGTGCCGCTCATCCCAATAACCAAAAAATGATCGCAGAATCACCAGCAAGCTATACGGCTCTACTCATTTCTCAGGCTATATATAGACACCTTCATCCTCCTCATTTCTCCACCAATCTTCCCAAAATTAGTTTATTGTGTTCCTAAGAGTGTGGTGAGCAAGCCGCAGTAGTTCGCTACCGCCAGAATCACTAAGAGGATCACGTTCGCTAGAAGTTTCACCGTAAAATGTCCATTTCCATCGTTTGAGCTTGATATGAGTTCCTAGATATATATAGTGAGCCGAATGTACATATAGATAGATTCTACATTCATAAACAATCATTTGGTTGAGTTATGAGGGAGAAAAGCTCAAAATATGTTTTTTGATGAACCAAGAAGCATAAACCTTCAAATTGTTGCTAAAACTCCAAATTAATTGTTTAAAAATGGTCTATGGATATTAAAGAACATTTTTATATAGTTAAAATAAAGTTTGGTAGTTTAAAATGGTGTTTTGAAGGTTTGAACCGAGGTTAAAGACGAAGTACTGTTCATGTAACACCCCAAACCTCGGCTTATCAGAATTAATTAATTAATAATAATTAATTAATGATTGAGATGGACCCTAGGTTATTTAGAAAGAAGTGTTAATAAATTATAAAAATTATATCATTCTAGATATTTTACAATACACATTATTTTCATAATCACCAATATATCCATTTTTAATCACGGTTCAATAATTCATAATTATCATTTTAATTAGAATATTCATCAAGGTTTAATCACCATAATCAACAATAATAATCATCATAATATTCAATATCAAATAGCGGCCTAGCATCGATTGTTAACACCCTAGCTTACTGTCATGCATCAAATAACGTATTAGAATTATTCAAAGCATTATATTTAACTTAAAAATGGTTATAATTCTGATTTATAGTTGTAAAGTAGCAAAATAGGATTTTCCAAATCTATTTTCGGACTTCATTTATTTTTGGACAGTATTGAACACGTTGTAACGGTAGCTTACTACCGCCTCACGATAGTGCATTACCTTCACACGGTAGTGCATTACCGCTACCGCGTGCTACATTCTAGGCAGGAACAGTACTTCGCCTTCAACCTCGTTTCAAGTTTCGTAACTGTCATTTTGAGCTACTAAACTTCATATAAACTATATAGAAATGCTCTCCACGGTTCATATACTATTTTGGCATCATTAATTTGAAGTTTTGACAACAAATTCAAGGTTTATGATTCTTGGTTCTTCAAGCATGTCAAACACAAAACTCAATCAAGCGACCGTTTATGAACGTAGAAGCGATCTATATTAACATTCTAATAACTAGATTTATCTAATGCCTTACCTCGAAGCTTAATGAAGGTTTTGAGAATTTTTCGGAGAAACTTCTGGCGAAGATTACTCTTAGCTCCGGCGACTTCACACCAAATTGACAGCACCATTGCGTTCTCCAGACTCAAGGCTAACTCTTAGAATAAATTTGAAGGGAAATGATGAAGAATTGAGGCAGGAGAGGTTGGTTTATATAGGAAGAAGAATGAGGAAGAAGACGTGGAAGATGACCTTGCTTCTCCTGTTTCGGCGTCTCAGTGGAGGGGGCTGCGATGTTTTCGATTCCAAACACAACTTCTAATTGGGACTAACTTCAGTCCCAGTTGAGGTACACTTTTGGTTCAACTTTCTCTAAATTGAATTCCGATTGAACCGTTGCGGTCAGACAGTTAAACTTTATAAATTACTTATTTTTGGGTCCTTCTCAGTAATTAATTAATTATCAATTGATTAATTTTGATAGGCCTATTTTTGGGGCGTTACAAGCACATAACAGAACGAGTATGAGCAGTCATGAGAATGATCATATATATTTTTATTCACAAAAAAATGAATGCACTTGAGTTTTAACTTCTCTATACAATATGTATCCACCGCTCAGACTATAAATGAGTACCGATATTAATCATAATGTGTACTAGCAAACATGAACTTGATATCTTACATTTCTATGCAAATTTAAACAAAGACTTCTCAAAATGTGTACAAAGCATAACCAAAATGAGTAAACTTTTTTTTTTACTTCCCTACACAAATTGTGAATGAGTACTTGCACTTTGGGGTCGAACATGATTCAGCTTTGAAATTTTTCCGTTTAGGGTTTGATATATTTCTGATTAAGGTTTGAGGTTTGGATTAGTGATAAATTTTGAATTCAAATAGGAAATTAGACACTAATGTACACAAAAATTTCATACCTCAACGAAGCCGAAGCTTTTGCATCTTCTTCAGAGTGCATGTTCACCTTTGATACTCAAAATCTTCCGTCTTCCGCAATGATGTTGTGCGTAACTATAAACGCTTCGATTCCATTTCCAAATTTGAATTTCGAATTAAGGGATGAATTGGAAAGATCGGGTTGTGAATTTGCGGCTATAATCTTTAAAAATGCAAATCGCAAATGAGAATGGGATAAATGGCCTTAATTTGTGATGGACTTTGCATTTTACGTGGTTAAATGTGTCGGCTCTACCTAATTTGTGATACAGCCGGTTGTACCATATACCAACTCCTTACATAAACTAGGATATGGGTATGCACGATTGATGTGGAATGTGTATAACTCAATATATATTGAGTATAAATTAATTTTTTTAAAACTAAAAAATGATATAGAAGTACTCCCTCTGTCTTATATTGATCTTTCCCACTTTGACCGGAGCTTATTTTTAAGCTTGTGAAAAAAATACTTTGACCTTCCAAAAATACCCCTGATCCTTCATTGTCATTCTCAACCGGTCTCATCGCCAATCTGATCTAGGAACAAACTTTCACAAAAAAATAGAGATCTATGAACAAAAACACTCATAAAAAAGAAAATCTAGAAACAAGAACAAAATCAAAAGCTAAAACAACCAGCCTTCAATATGCTGAAATCAACATCTATATCTACGAATTGTTTTTGTGCCCCATCACCACAACAAAAGCAAAAGCAAAAACAAAAACAACATGCTAAATTGATGAAATCCAAAGAGGGCGTGCGATGGAATTGCCAAACCAATATCAATCTGTCGTGTAGATCCGCCATTGATCGAATCGGCATCATCACTTCATATCCAGTATCAATCTCGTTCGATCTTCCGTTGAATCCACAGATTGTTACCTGGGGATCCGCCATTGACTTCGTTAGATCCGCCATCACCACTGTAATCCGCCATTGATTTCGTCAAATCCACCTCCAATTGTTGTGTCAATGGAACGATAACATATGGAGAAGCGATTGTAAGATAGAAAAAAATAGGAGAAAGAAGAAATATAAGAGAGCGAAAATGAGAAGATGGAGAGAAGGGAGAATGGAGAAAGAGAAAGAAATAGAGAAAAGAATTGAACACAAGGAAGATAGACATAAAGTGGAACTTGAGGGTATTAAAGTCATTTACCTACCTTTTTTAAGAAGTGAGAATATAGCTTTAGGACGAAGAAAAAAAATGAGAAAATGATTTTAGGATGGAAGGAATAATTAATTAGTGAGTGACGCTAAATCCATACCATAAATTAATAAACTTCTCACCCAATTTTGTTAAATCGGCACAATATCAAATTTACATTGACTATAGATTCACTAAAATGAGGTGAAATGTATAAATATAACTATTTAAAAAATAAATTTAGCAACCCTCAAATTTTAGAAAAAGATTAACAAATTTAAAATGAGAAATACTAGAGTCACAAACACTTCGGTTACAAAATACACAAACTTGCCATTTGTGCACCTCACTAAATGAATAAAATGATGTTGAATAATTAAAAAGTAAACAATAAAATATACAAATGGTAAGTTTGTGTATTTTGTGACCGAAATGTTTTACTATTACTATTTAAAACCGATCAGTCAAAACTTACAAAGGACGTTCCTTAAAATCCACGCACGCCCAATTCGATCTTCCACCACATCCCTTACTCGTCGTAGACCGCCGTCTGTCCCACCGGAAAACATTTCTCCGCCGTTATCCGCCATTCATTTGCGCACCAGTTTTCTCTGATCTCAACTGCAGAAGCAGTGCTATCCATCGGACGATGTACTATTTGTTTATAGGAAGTCGACGAAAGAAGCGGTAGGTGGATACTGAAGTCAGCCATTGATACCCACGAAGCTAGGGCTTGAATCCGATTTCAAACATAACTATATGATTGATATTTGTTTCATTTGTACCACACTCATTTGTGTTGTTCGTACATACGAGCTCTAGTTATGCAGCTAACATGCACTAATACATATACTCGCCCTTCATGAATTCATGCTGCATAATTTTTTATTCTACTTGCTAGATTATTTTTCTACCTCGGAAACTAAATTTACAGCTCTCTATGCTTTCAACTGATGCTTTGCGGTCTAAAAACTTGAATCTAATGGGAAATAATGTGAAAGTAAGCAGTTGGACGAGTAAGAAAAACTGACATGTTCTGCTGTTCATCTCATCTCTTTTCTGTTGCTGCTCGTTCTGATTTCGTTTTTTAAATCTAATTCCATTACAACAATTTTTTCCATTGATTTTGATTCATGCTTACAGACACCTAATTTGAAAGTAGGAATTCGTGCTTCTTTGCTTTTGGAAATGTAGCATATCCTAAATTCTGGTCAGTGCATCCTCTTTCATGGAAGTCCAATTTGAAGACAGTTCCTCAAGGGTTTTATTTACATTAAAAGCAGTTAGATGATCTCCAAAAAGAGGCAATAAGCAGGGCATGATATTACATACAACAATAACCACCCCTGTAAAATCCCTTATGTGGGGGCCGGGGAGGGGGGAGGGGTGCGCGCATACCTTACCCCTACCTAGGAAAAGTAGAGAGGCTGTTTTCGAAAGACCTTTGGCTCATTTAGGAAAGTCTTGAACCTGCTCATTTAGCATTGTCAGACTGCTGAATATGTGCTGGATGTTCCTTTTTAGGGGGAAATGTTTCGCAAGGGGAAGCTTAAGATATGATACTAGATAGTGCATTTAGATTTTGGGTTGCATCAAGTCTGGATGCCATAAAGTTTTTTATAGCTCCTAGATGCAATTTTTTTTAACACATGATTGCTTATGAATCCTTACTACCTATATAGCGCTTTTCTAAACTTAAAATATAAATAGGAAACTTAATTGCAAATGTTGCACCACTACTAGAGACATTTAGGAACAAGTCTTTGCACCTTATCTAAGGCATAGCCTAGACATGCAAGTGAAACATAATGTCTGTTGTATTTGTTTTCAATATTGTCTTGCTCTGTTATGTAAACTAGTTCACTAGATAAAAGAATGTGTTATAGAATTATCTTGCCCATATTATTTCCTTTCACCCAAAGAATGTGGAACAAATAGCATCCATACATGTAAGTGTCTAGATAATGCAACCATTGATCTAAAAATCCCTGCCGAGGTGCCTGGCTCTCTTTGGGAGCTGAGGTTATTTTATTAGGGCTCAACGCTGCCTGATTCCCACTTACATCCCGCCTAACCCCAAATATTCTCTAATTAGGCCTCTCAGTCTCCTGCCTGGCAGGAGTCCCCTAGTTCTTTGTACAACGTTTTTGGTCACAGTGGTGCATAGAGCTTTCTCCTAATGGTTCTACATTTCTGTTATAGGATTCAAATTTCCTGACATGCTTTAATATATCTCTCTGTGTGTGTATGTGTATATATACATTTATTGTATCCTCTTATACCTACGCACACAACCTTATCCTTCTGTGTGGCTTATCTAAAAAATATTTGTTAACAGGATGTAAAATGGAGATCCTTTTTGATGGCGATCCCCCTCCTATACTGCAACTACATAAATGGCCCCCTTCTAAGCACGAACTTGAACTTTCAGAGTTTCGTGAAGGTTTTTTATCTCCAACAAGGGAAAAGTTGCTATTACTCTCATATCATCGCGAAGCGCTACTGCTTCCTCTGGTCAGAGGTAAATTATGGTATCCCTTTGCTCCTCCGCAATTTCAATGGAAATTACTAATTCTCAATTCTCATGGAGCTTCCTACCTTATTCACAGAGAATCATATTGAAGATAATTCAACTTCTCTGGCATCATGGATGCCAACATTTGTCGCCCCTTGTCTAGCAGAGCAGGAGGATGATATTCTTGGCACTTCTAAGTCAATTGAAATGGATGGTATTAATACTCCGGGAAATCATTATAGAATGTCGAACAATTTCCCTTTCATCTATGATGTAAACTCCCTCACTTGGGGTATATGTGAAGACCCTTATGGACAGTATGAGGACAAACCTTTTACAGAACACCTTTTTGTGTCTGGCAATCACGGGGTCATAGTTCATGCTTTTAGTCAATCATATACCTACAGAGTAGTAACGGGATCCACACAAGATGGTAATGCTAATACTGGACAAGGATCATGGGTGGAGTGGGGGCCAGGATATCCAGCAACTGTATCTCAGGATTTCGATGCACAACAAGAGTGCAACAGGCACTGTGAGGATTCCCTCAATGCTTTAGACATAAGCAGGAATGGTGCAACAGCGGCAAGACCATTTAGCATGTGTACAAAAGCTGCAAATGGTTCATCGTCTGATAGTATTTCTAACAAAAAATGGCTGCGCACATTGTTAACTAAAGTTGAAACATTTGTGTCCGATGGAGTAGTATATACTAGATTCCCAGATAGTTCATTATTTGATTCCTCTGCTATGGTGGTCTCTTTTTGCCTTTTTGACAATGATTCACTGCTTTTGGATTTTCTATCTCATGGCTATTCAGTATCAAGGGAAAAAAACAATAACAATTTGTCAACTTTTGATCCTCAGAACAGTACACTTGCAGATTCCCTGCCCTCCAATATAGGTTCTCACAGTTGTTTGCATGTATTCTCTAATGGTTCACAATGCTTGATTGGGTTTGCCTTAATGGTATCTGATTTTTTGCCTGCGACAAATGAAAGTGAAAACAATAGAATATTAGTTGTTGTGGCAAAGCTCCTCAGTTGGGGATTAGAGTGGGTTTTTACAGTGACACTAGACAAAAATGTTGAAATGACTGCAGCTGGCCAGTGGACTGACTTTCAGTTCTCCCTTTCTTTTCTAATTTGTCTTAATGCCAATGGATTGATTCATTTTTATGATGTGAAAAATGGTTTATATATTTCATGCCTAGATCTTTCACGCACTAGTTGGCCTTGCACTTCTATAGTATCCAAGGAGAAAGAAGATTCATATGTGAAGATTATTGGAGATTTTTCCGGAGAGAAGGATTATTGTCGTCAGTCATATATTCGCCAGAGGAGGTTTGAAAGGCTTTTTGTCATTGGGAATGCCCTGACTTTAGGTGTGATCGATAAACATGGTTTTAGTTATGTAATACAAGCTTCTGATCATATCCCAAGGAAGTATCACTCACTTGAGAAATTACTCCCATATTATGAAGATCTTAGATTTGCACCACTAGCGGCATGGGGAGTAGGTGGTGCTGACATTGGCTACACAAGAGTGTCTTCCAATATGTCAAGTGCTTTTAAGGACTCACCATTTGGAATAGCTCGGCCATCTGAAAGTGATTTTAAGGATCCAATTGTGGAAAATCGGTTCAAGTTTCTTGGTTGTAAGTTACCATCTAGCCATATGAGAAATTTTTTTGTTCCTATGTATAAATTTCAAGAAGATGATGTCATTTGTATGTCACCATTTGGAATAACTCGGCTTATTAAACTGCGGAACTCTCAAGATAAAAACAAATGCCGTCTTGTTCATTCGTATTTGCATGTAAATTTATCTTTGAATGATGACAAAAGTTACAATGTCCAAGGCTGGGAAGCTATTGTAAATGAAACAATTGCTTGCACTTCTCAAGGTTGTCTGTACTTGGTAACAAAAAATGGCATCTTTGTAGTCCTCCCTTCACTTTCAATTTCTTCAAAGCTCTATCCTATAGAAGCTATTGGATATCGTCAATCAGGTTGTCTTTATGGTTTTGAGATGGATTCCTATGCGTTTGAAAACATTGAACGAGTTAAAATACCTTTGTCATCATGGAAATTAGAGATTTTGGATAAAGTTCTTTTATATGAAGGCCACAAACAGGCAGATCAGCTTTGCTTGGAGAATGGTGAGTGTCATGAATTGAGATTCCTCATTTTTGCCTTAACTTGTTAAGACATGAAGATAAAAAGTTTGGTAGTGGTATTTTTTCCTTTAGTGTTAAATTTGTTTCAATTCTGTTGGCATTCATGAGCATGATCATCATCACCTTAATCCCAAATAATTAAGTGCGTGGCATGAAAATTAGTGTCAATAAGCATATAGTGGCACATAGTTGCCGACTTGCCGGATGGCCTTCATGTTGAAACTTTCTTATGAATGACAATAAGATGAATTTTCATACCTGTTTTCATCATAGATACTTTATGACATTCATGCTTTTGTTCTATAATGTAGGGAATGGAAAACATGCACTAACTTTATGTGGTACGGTCGATGGACCAGTTTTGATGCACTTCATTAGATGATGTTCTAGCAAAGCATTTTAGAAGAAATCAATTCTCCAAAAGAATTAGGTTTATCATATCTTAGAGTAACATTAGCAAACAAGTATTTATACATTCAAGAATACTAAAAGTCCATCTTAGATGCCATTGTAGCGAACACTATAAAAAGATTGACATGGAACCAAAAGATATGTGGACACACTACGCATATAGTTGCTTTAGGCATCCTCACATTTTAATAGAACCCCTCAATGGTAAAAAAAGTAATCTCCAATTAAATTAATGTGTGCTCTTTGAATTTTGCCCAATTAATCTAATGGGTTATAGTTGTGAAAATTCCATTTGTTCAGGAAAGAGGAAAACAGAAGACAACTCAGGAAAAATCTTTTTTTACTTTGCCACCACAAGTTCTAAACATTCTAAGATAATTGAAAAAATCAATGAACAACAACAATTACAACACAACAATAACAACCCAGTTGAATCCCACAAGAGTAATCCCACAAGAGTAAGGTCTGGGGAGGGTGTGTGTACGCAGACCTTAGCCCTACTCAAAAGTAGAGAGGTTGTTTCTAAAGAGATCCCCAGCTCAGCGTCGAAAGTTGCAATGATTGACTAACAGCTACTTCATTAATTAAAGAAGTGCAGACACTTTAGAGATCCATTTTGCTTTACTCCACCACACCCCAAAGCCAAAAAATAGTGAATGTTGGGCTCCATCGGAGATGATGGAAAAACAACAACAATAACAACCTACCCACTATATTAGTGGTGGTGTTTGTGTTTGGGGTTTTAATCTTCTTAAACCATATATTGTTTTCTCACAAACTTATTTGCATGGTGTATGGACCTTCATAATAGCCTTGTTTGATTACATCTCTTTTTCCTATGATGACATTTTTGTTGGATATTCTGGTGGATATTTTGATTTCAATAGAAATACTCTCAGCTCTGAATTATCTTTTAATTTCTTATTAGGATGGGATTTAAGTGTTTGCCGGATTCGGTGCTTACAACTTGCTTTGGATTACCTCCAATTTGAGGAGATTGAGATGTAAGATTTCAACACACTCACACACACATTTGCTTTTGCTTACGAGCAGAATTTGAGGAAAAGAGCTATTAAAGGTCTTTTAGTTTATAACTCTGCCAGAGCAACAAGATGCCATTATGATTCATCTTTATAACAGTTCTCTAGAGATGCTTGCGGATGCCAATTTAGCCGAAGAGGGCATTTTGAGATTGCTCTTTGCTTCTGTTTATCTGATGTCCCATGAGGTTGGCAGTGAGAGAGATGTTTCTGCTGCATCAAGGTATGGAGGTTATATGTTGCTCTTTATATATTGGCTAATTAGAATCACTGTTTTCTTCTCAACTTACAGTAAGGTGAGAACATGTGTTGCATACTCTGGATGTGAATAGCTTCTATTAAAATGATTCTTTATTTCAACAAATTTTTTTTCATATTTGGCTAGGAAGTTAAAACTAATCGAGTTATGTTACAAAAAACTAAAATCATAGAGTGTAAGCTGAAAATTTGTAGCATATTAGTATTCTAGTGCACCTGCCTGATATATCTCTTCAAGGATCACTACTAACTAATTTCAAGGGAATTGTTGGAGTCTATCCCACATCGGAACTTGTAGTGAAAATAAATCGATATATAAGCTCTTGAGTTGAACTAACTAATCGATTGAATTCAATCTTTTAATGTGGTTCAACCCAAGTGTCTTATTACCCAATCCAGTTATCACTACCCCATCCTAAATTCTATCAGGAATAAAGGAATATGGAATTATGCACTTCTCTACTAGTTTCTTGTAGACAGAACCAGTTAGCCGTAAAGATTTCACAATGGATGCTATTTGGCCAAACCGCCAAAATGCAAGGTCTTATGTGCCTCTTCAGGCTGTTCTTCTAGTACCTCATTCATAATTGCCTTTTATGAGCTTATAGTTTTGTCACGTTCCATGTCAAATTGGATAGAGTTCTCTTATTTAAGTTCTACATAGTTGCTTCATACTTTGTTTAGAGTTGGGATTGTCTTGTATTCCTCTCTTTTCGAAAGATTTAGTTTTGCCATTTGCTCCTAATTTATACTCTCTGCATCCAAGAATAAACTTCCCGTGTTGACTTGGCACGGAGATTTGCGTTGACTTTCCTACATTACCCTCACACTTCCTACTACTCTATTCACTGTTCGTTTATCTCTCCGCCATCGCCATCTCTGTTTTCCAGCTGAGGCATCGCCACCGTACTGCCCAGCGAGACTAATGGTGCACCCCAACTTCCCACGACAACCACCATGCCAACCACCATGCCACCTTCATTGTTGAGCCCCACTTTCAATCTCTCCAAAGAAAGTTCGGCACCCCTTCCCAAAAATATTAAAAACCAAAAAGCAATTTCTTCTTCCCCGAGTTGTTAGACAGGACCAGATCAAAGCAAAGTAGAATATTTTATTGTTGTGAACTGTTATATGATTCATTGCGTTCTCTAAATATAAATAGAGAACAAACCGACACAACTTTTACTAACCAACACAACAATTAACATTAGAAACTACCCATAAGTCCATAACTGCTTTTAGAAACTACCCAACTGTTTTTTTAAATCAATTAAATATTTAAGCACACTAACATACAACATATTAACTGTCCCGAACATTGACATATTACCCATTCGGTTATGTGTAATATGTGAACAAACCCGATTAAATCTAACAATCATGCCCCTAATTGTTGTTTCTTCACACTAATCTTCACAGAGACGTTGGTTCATCCACATCTTCAATCAAATTTGTAATGTGTTCCTTTTGATCCCATTTTGGACATTCATTCAGAACATGCCCTAGCTCATTGCACTTGAAACCCTTAATGTGACTCTTTNCCCCCCCCCCCGACCTCTACCTCGGCCACGTCCAAAGTCTTCTTGGTTTGAGATCCCGCAACCACAATGCTTACATTTGTGCTCCTTAACCTTCTCTTTTCCATCACCTTTAGTGAATAGTAATTTACCTTGTGTATCTCCGTCCTCGGTTGGCTTTTTGATACGTTCTTTGAATGCTTTCAATCTTCCAACCGCTTCTTGAAACGACATTATGTTAATGTCGGCAAACTGTTCAATTGCAGCAACGATCTGTATGAACTTTTCTGGCACAGAACCCAAAATCTTTTGCACCAATCTTTTGTCTTCAAATGCAGACCCAAGGTTGCTTGCTTGTGTTGCAAGCTGACTAATCTTACCAGCAAAATCATCATGTGACTCATTATTCTTCATATTTTGAGTCTCAAAATCTAATACAATTGTCTGTAATCGCGCCGCTTTAACCCTGTCAACACCAAGGAGTGAGTCTTCAGAGCATCCCAAATTTCTTTCGCTTCGGTAAACTGAGCAACATGTAACACAATCTCTTTCAACAAAGCTCGAAACATATATGCTATTTCCAAATTGTTCTTCTTTTGATCGATATCTGTTCCTAGTTCGATCACCTCCCAAGTTCCATTAACATTAAAAATTGCTTTGATCTTCACGGCCCAAATAGTGTAGTTTGTAGCAGTTAGAACTGGAACCTTAAAAGATTGTGAACTATTTTCCCTTGTAGTCACAATCTGTCTGTTGTATTCCATTGCACGACTTTAATTCCTTTGACAATTTTCACAAAATTCGTAGACTTTGATTCCTTCCTGGAATCGACCATCAACCAGAAGACAAGCCCCTGCTTTTTTGTCTTCCAAGCCACTAAACGAAAGCTACCCCGCTGATTCGTTTTTCCCGCGCTGTTTGGTTGGATCGTTGGAATGCTTCTGCCAAAGGAAAAAACTAGCCACATGCTATTTTTGTCCTAGGCAAGGAAGAATCTTGTCGAAGATTCTTGATTTGTTGTTGTTGAAGTCTTTAACGCTTTGTATTATGATCTGGCAGCCCTCCTCCTCCTCAGATCAAAGAAAAGTAGAATATTTTTTTGTTGTGAACTGTTACCGGATTCATTGTGTTCTCTAAATATAAATAGAGAACAAACCAACACAACTTTTACTAACCAACACAACTATTAACATTAGAACCATAGTTTGTAAGGCGGCAAGGGGAGGCGAGGCGAGGCGAGGCGCCAATGTACCTTCATATCGCCTAGGCGACATACATAGCTACATATATATATATATATATATATATTTATATATATGTATGTATGTATATAGGTCTTATACATTTTAAGGAAGCTTGACAGAGAAGACCGAGAGAGAGAGAGAAGATAAGTTTAAGTCTATTAGGCTACACTAAAAGAAAATGGGCTGCACTAAAAAATGTTTTTTTTTTCAAAATTTTAAAGGGGCCCAAGGCATCAAGGCGAGGTAAGGCGACGCCTAGGCGAGCGCCTGGTCGCCTTAAGGTTTTCTAGGCGAGGCGAGCAAACAAGGCGTCCTCGTGACAGTGCCTTATTGCCTAGGCACGCCTAGACGACGCCTTACAAACTATGTTAGAAACTACCCATAACTGCTTTTAGAAACTACCCAACTGTTTTTTTAAGTTAATTAAAAATTTTAAACACACTAACAGACACCATAGTAACTGACCCGAACATTGACTTATTACCCATTCGGTTATATGTAATATGTGAACAAACCCGATTAAATCTAACAAGAGTTCGACATCCCCTTCAAAAAATCTTAAAATCAAATCCTGAAGGAATATAACCTTGAATTTCTAGACGGGTTTGCTAAGAATCGTCTTCCACAATCACAATATCAAGTTCACTCTTCCCCAACACCCTTGTGTGCGGCAAATTCCAACATTAGTCTGCATCGCGAGATGGACTTCAAGATAATCTGTGTCCGGTTGGATCTCCATTTGCATTCCCTTCCAAGTTCTTTAATCTGCACCCCATGCTCAGCAACGAAGGATCTGACATACATCCGTAGGGTAACAGTGGAAATTGCACAGCAGCGGTGGAGGATGAAGAAGATGGTGAGGACAAGGAAGAAAAAGAAAGAAGATGGGCGGAGAATTATGCAAATGGTAAAGGAAGAAGAAAAAAAGGACAAATGCGTGAAGATACAGAAGATTGGAGAGAGAAATAATAGGCGATGGGCAAAATAGACATTTCAATGTAAATGGGAAGTTTATTTGTGGACGTCCCAAAAAGGAAAGTGGGAAGTTAATTTATGGACAGAGGGACGACATGAAGGAACTAAACAAGTCCAGCCTTATAAACACATAAGAATTTAACTGTATCTTAGCGAAACTTGTAGTATTTGTTAATCGCTGTGCCCACGTCTTAGAGGGGGGTGAATACAGCGTTTGAAAACTTTTCGGAGTTAGATAAAAACGGTGTTGGTAAATGCAGAAGCAATAAATAAATGCAGAGATTAAATCGTAAAACAAGAATACACCAAATTTTAGACTTGTTTGGGAAACCCCTACTCCAGTACCTTAAAGCTCCACCTTAAGCATTTCCGAATCCACTAAGTCTGGGTCTCTTGAACTCCGTCAAAGCACCTCACTTGTTTAGCAAGCAATCCTTGCTAATAGGATTCACCCCGAGATTTTACAACGGCTATCTCGAACCACTTACAATGAAAATTTCACGGCTATCTTCAACCATTTCCCCCAAGGATTTCAAAGGCTATCCTTGAACCTTTACCCAAGGATTTATACGACTATCCTCCACCGTTACAATGAGTGGAAGATGCGTCTAACAACACAGAAAAATGTTCAAAACCTCTTGGCCTATGATAAATATAAGGATCAATCCTTGGCGGGTGAAGAAGGAAGATTATACTCTAAAAGATAGTGCAAGATTAACCTAATGTAAATGATAGTATATACGTATAACCACAAGCTCAATGTGTGTGTATAAAATTAGGAGAATAAGGATTTTGAAAATAGCCAAAATAATAAAAATGAAGAACAAGAATAAGAACACACTAAAATTATGAAATGTAATATTTGGAGCTTGGATTGTTGTTTAAATATGAAGGATTAAACTTGTATTTATAGTGGGAAAAGTTATTTAGCCGTTGGAGAGTAATTTGGAAGGATTTTGACTAATTAAATGTGATTAAATTTGAAATACGAAATTTGAATTTTCCTCCAACGGTCACGGTAGGGGGTACCGTGAGTGGCGGTATGTGGGTACCGTGTTCCCTCAAAAAACAAACCTCTCTGGCGGAACCTAGGCTCTAACGGTACCAGGGTACCGTGGTGATGGTAAGGTCTACTGTTGAGGCGGTAGGGTGTACCGTTAGGGGTATCGTACCATTGTCCTGGTTTTTCCAAAATTCCCTTAATCCTTCTTGTTTGAGTTTAAAATCTTTTGGATGTTTGAAAATGTTTATAGGATGGCTTAAACATATTTTGTGAGTGCATTTGAGCTTGTGAATATAGGTATATAAAATCATATCCTTACATTTGATTCTACCTATATTCTACGCTAGTTTAGTGTTTCGAATTCATTCTTGAGAACCGAATCTTAATGAATTCTTGTTATACTTGAAACACTTAAACAAATGTTTAGTTCTTATATTGTTTGTTAAGATCAAAACATGAGGCTTAACAAACCAAGGCTAATAGTATTTATTTTCAATAGCTCTACGTTTACAGTCATGTCAGCTAATCAATTTGTATTCCATAGCAGTGTTCTGTACATAAGTTGTGCATGTTTGCCTCATCTTTTTATGTTTTAGACTGTCATGTATTTTTTTTATAAATGTGCTCTTTTTTGGTAAAGTTTAGTTTTGGTAGCTGTTGCTGATTTAAGATCACGTTCTAAACAACGGTGGGGTTCTAGTGCCACTAGAGTACGGTGCCACTGGCATTTCGGGGCACCTCCGATGCTCCGTTCGCAAAATTGACGGTTTCTACCCCCCCTAACCCACCCCCTAAACCCCCCACCCTACCCCCGCCCCTGCATCCCCACCCCAACCCCGCCGTAAGCCCCCCACAAAATGTGTGGCTATTATGCGTTCATAATAGCCACACATTTTGTGGGGGGCTTACGGCGGGGTTGGGGTGGGGGTGCAGGGGCGGGGGTAGGGTGGGGGGTTTAGGGGGTTGGTTAGGGGGGTAGGAACCGTCAATTTTGCGAACGGAGCATCGGAGGTGCTCCAAAATGCCAGTGGCACCGGAGCGGCACCGTACTCCAGTGGCACTAGAACCTCACAATGAACTATTTAAGTATAACCTTTAATTTAAATGTTTGGTCATTGTTTATCCATGTCATACTGAAACTTATGGCTGTCACATTTAATTTCTTTGCTTCGATTTAATATACAGGCTGCTTGCTTTGGCCACTAGTTTTGCAACAAAGATAATACACATGTGTGGTTTGTCACTTCACAAAGGAGATAATTCAAAGTCATGGACTAGTCACAATGGCCAGTCCCCTCTTCACGTGTTGGAGCTAATAGATATGAGGGCTGAAAAAATGGGGAGTTCTATAAATATTCAGAAGATGGCACGTTACCTGGAGATAACTCGGAGGTTGCAGCGGCAGCTAAATTCTAAGTTCAAGAGGCCAGGCCAAGGATTGGTAAGCGTTTTTTGTTTGGTCCGGCTGCTTGAAAGTAATCCTTGGATTAAATAAATACCTTATAGCATTGTGTTACAGGTGGATCGTGGTGGCCTCTTTAACAATACAGAGTTTTCATTGGAAGACTCGAAGATTCTTGATCTTTCTAGAGATGTCTTACCATTTGATTCTTCTTACCAAAGAGAAACAGTAGTGCATGTAGCAGAATTGGAGTCAACTAGTGATGAAACTCTTGCTTTAATGCCTGCGGATAGCATAGACGCCAAGGCCAAATTTGCTCTGGAGAATCCAAAAGACATGATTGCTCGATGGGAATCGGACAATTTGGATCTCAAAACAATTGTAAAAGATGCTATACTTTCTGGCCGTCTTCCTTTGGCAGTTCTTAAGTTGCATCTTCATCGTTTACAAGACATACCGAATCTGGAAACTCAGGACACATTCAGCGAAGTTCGTGAAGTTGGAAGAGCAATAGCTTATGACTTATTCCTGAAGGTAGGTTCTTGATATTTGCTGTTGCCTCAGTTAAATCTCTTTTTTTGTTTTTACTAATAGTTTATGTTATTTAATTATCAGGGTGAGACTGGAATTGCAGTGGCAACGCTGCAAAAGCTTGGTGAAGATATTGAAATCAGCCTTAAGGAGTTGGCTTTTGGCACTGTTAGGAGATCTCTTCGGGCACAAATAGTTGACTTTATGAAAAAATATGGATATCTTGGAGCACGTGAGTGGAAGACATTAGAGATGATAGCCCTTATTGAGGTGCACTACTCTTGTTTTTTTTTCCTTCCAACTTTTTTAATAAGCTCTTAATATATGCTCCTATCTAGCATTCTAGCTGACTCTTGTCTTTGTTTTGCTTTTTGCTTCAAGAGGGTGTATCCATGCAGCAGTTTCACAGGCACTTTTTGTAACCGGCTTCAAGAGCTAAATGGGGAATTCAATGGTAATGCGCCAGGTGAAATAAGTTTGCAAATACTCCATCCATTGGCTAGGGATCTTGTTATCAAATGCGGAGAGCTTGATGGAGTTGTGATGGGTCCGTGGACAAAAATCGCTCAACACGCAACTCATTCTGAAACTGATGATGTTAGTATTCACAGAAGTTATTGGACAGCTGCTGCGGCATGGTCTGACGCGTGGGATCAGCATATTGTTGATTGTGTAAGTCACTGTCAGGATGCACTAGAATATTCTCTTGCTTTTATTCCTTTTCTCATTTTTTGTTAAAACTTAAAAGTATAAATCACAGTTTCACATCCATGTGAGAAATTGTGGACGAATTGGAAAAATTCTAATATGGGGTTAAAGTTTACAGGTATTCGTATTCTAGTGTGATAGTTCCGGCAAAATTTTCTTGTCTATCATGCATTTTTATTAAAGTTTGTTTAGCGTTAATTCTCTCTCTCTCTCTCTCTCCGCGATTGCCCTTTTCATGATTGCCTTGAATCATTGGGTGTATTGAGTGGGGCCTTGATAATTTTTTGTTACTGTAAAATAGCTGCATTGAAACTTGTTGGCATGGAGTGGGCTTTTGTTGGCAAAAAATGACCTTAAACATTGGTGTTCACACTAGCATCTTCAACATGAACTGAACTCTACCAAGGCCCTATCCCTTAGGCATTGATCAAATAGAGTTAGATATTTTAAGGGTGTATGAAGAAATTGGAAGGAGTTGGAAGAAACTCGAAGGAGTTGGAATAAATTGGAAGGAGTTAGAAAAAGTTGAAATAAATATTGCTACAAATTATACTTTTATTGATGAATGATATATCGACATCACTTTTATTTGACACCATTCATGTAAAACCCACGGTTAGGATCAAAAGATACAAACACATAGATCTTCCTAAAAAACATTCACTACAAACGGACACCCTTTTGAGCCTTTTCAAATAATAAATGTAATAATAATAATAAGAGTAATATCAACAATACTCCGTATAATTGAAAAAATGCACATAAATAATTGTGATAGTTCCAGCAAAATTTCTGAACTCTATTGAGCTTCCTTGTACCGAACTCTGCTGAGTTCTAATTTACTTTACCTAGCCCCTAAGCTCTACTTAATTGACCAAACTCTAGTACTCTACTAAGTTCTACTTGTGCTTAGCTTATCAGTTGTGATTGAGTACACATTTAACTTTATTTCTTCTTCTTCTTTGCTTTTTTCCTTGTCTTCTCCTTTGAAGAAGATGAAATAAAAGCCTAGTTTTTTCCTTAGTTTGTAGCACAAGAGCATTGTACCAGAGCTCAACGTCTGCCTCTCTCTTCAAAATAATTTGAAAACATAAGTCACCAGAATTCCATAAACAATTGCACAAGGATCGCTAGAGGCACATGAGTTGAACTGGAAATTTTCATCTAAAAGTCTCACCAGAATGGGCGTCTTTGCACTGGCATGTGAATTGTGAAGTGGTGGTGTATGGTAGGGACATGCTTCTCGTGGGCTTGGTGTGGCTGATTTTGTCCAACAGTGACCAACTGGCATGAGATGTTTAGAGACGATGATGACATGACACGCCTTAAATGATGGCATCACACATGTTTAGAGGTAGTTCATAAGGAGAATAAATAGAAGCTAGGGTTATCGTGAAACATTTTAGGATTATAGCTCTTAAAATGATATGACTTTTTTATTGCAAAAACAATATGACTCTAATTTCTACATAAAACTGACAACTTAGGAGTTAGAACCTCCTAATTATTAAAGACTTGAAATCGGAACCCTGATGTTCTTATCCTATTTTACTTATCTAATTTTTCTTTTATCAATCCAAAGATAGTTTTCATTTTCTTAATTTAAACACAAAATTCTACTTTTTTATTCCCCTTAGCTATCTTTTTAACATTTTAGAATGATCTTACTAGTGGTTTATATTTGATTATTTGAGTGATTTGAAATAACACAATACTTTTCTTTTGTTTATTTAGAACTAAAAATCACACAAAGAAACCGTTCCTAATGTAATGAGATGTAACGAGTATGCTATTGATTTTTTCCTCTATTTTTCATGAATTTGCATTCTTATCAACCACTTTTGAATTCTCTTTCTGCACAGATAGTACTTGATCAACCATTCGTTATGGGGATTGATGTATTGTGGGAATCTCAACTTGAGTACTACATGCGCCACAATGACTGGTTGCAAGTTTCAAGACTTTTGGAGGTTATTCCATCTTATGCATTGTCCCATGGAAGTCTGAACGTCAGTTTAGAGAGTTTACATTCTGCACCAATTATTGAATATCCTCAAGAGCCAGAGACCCCTGGTGCTGGGAACTATGAGTATTTCCTTGAAGAACTCGATGCCATGTCTCTGAATGTACCAAATGTGAAAATATTAAGGTTCCCTGCCTACATCAATTCCTCAATGTGGTTAGGTGGACTTATGGAACAACAACTTGCCAAGGAGTTAATATTTATTAAGGACTTTTGGGGTTCTCTGGAGGAAATGGTAACTCTGTTAGCTCGGTCTGGTTTTGTTGGTGACACACACAATTCTTTTGTGCTAGAGGAGGGGTTGTTTGAGAAATATTCTGACCCATTCTTGTCTATGAATGACTCTAGAAGTCAGACACATACCATCCAAGCCTTTCATAAACTCATGGTCTACTATTGCGCTCAACACAACTTACTGAACTTATTGGACCTTTATCTTGATCACCACAAGTTGGGCATGGATGACGAGGCCCTTTCCTTATTAGAACATGCAGTAGTAAGTCAATTTTTGCTTACTCATCTAACTCTTACTATACTTTATTTGTGCACTAAGTATAAATATTTTTTTATCCTAGAATCATCATTATTGGATTTCTTTAATGCATTAGTTTCCAGTATCTACATAAATCTGAATTATATTGATTGAATGAGTTGTGAATCTTCAATCCTTTGGACACATAACTTGTGTCTCAATCGCAATTATTTCAGTGCATTACTCCCTTTTATGCTAATTTGGGAGAAATTGTTCATTTAAATGTCAGATGACTAGTTTCGGCATATTATTTGTAATATTTTATTTTATACTACACTAGAATGGCTGATGAATATTTCTAATGTCAAAAAAAGAAAGTTTAGCATAGACATTAGCTTATAATTTTCTTTAAAGATTTTTTTTCCATGAAAACAAACCATTGGAATCAAAGGACAATATTTCCATTGGTGCTTGACCTATGTGTATGAAATATATATTTTGCATGGACACACAACACTTGAAAGTATAGAAAATATTTTTAAATTTTGTTTCATGTTTTCATTTTGTGTGTATGATGTCTTACTCTTATGAAATTCTTGAGGGAATTTGAAGAACAATTAATCATGTTGACCAATACTTTTTTCTCTTTGCTCTTAGCCCATGTACTTAGTATTTGCGTCGGACCCCCACACTGGAGCATAAGAATTGATGAGTTAATAAAATCTTGAGTTGAATAAGCTAATCAATTGGGTTCAATCTTTTAGTCTCAACAATTCTTTCATTAGACAATTGAGTGACCCCAACTAAATTTTAAATTCTCTTAGGGTATGTTTGGGAACATGGATTTGGAATTCAAATCCGGATTTGGCTCAAATTCTATGTTTGGGAAACTTGAAAATTTTGGATTTGGATTTGAGTCAAATTCCTCTCATTCATAACAAATCTTAATTTGAAATCTATGCACCTCCCCTTGTCATTTGAAATTCAAGATTTCAAATTTTGGAATTGAAATGCATGAATTGAAATGAAATGCTAGTCCCCAAACACTACCTTATATTATTAGAGCAAATTTTGTCTTGCTTCATATGTCCATCTCGAAGTCTATTCGAGCAGCATCTGTCCTATTTAACCTGGTTTGTTGCTACCCAGTCCCGCATCTTATGGTCCTTTGTGTTGTCATTGCTTTCGAACTTGGGTTGCTGACACATTGCAGTCTATTTGTAAACAACCAACTTGTTGAATTCAAGATGACTAGCTGTCAACTTGGGATTGTCACCTTTTGTTTTGTTGTAGTTTTGGTGTAGTTTTTAAATATGAAAGTAATTTTTATGTATACCAATTTTCTAATAAAATGAAAAAAAACTTCATTTTACCTTATAAGTAAGGATGTCAAAGTAATCCAAAGTGAAAACCTTACCACCCAACATATGTTGCTAGTGATGGATGTTAAAATCAGGTGGGCGAGGAAGAGGCTAGCGGCAAGTGGTCCACCGCACATTCGTTGGGGGAGCTTGGATGAGGATAAAATCCCGGAGTTGGTTGCTTGGCATCATGAGAAAGGTGCATTGGAGTCCTCTGGAGAGGCCAACGACACGTGGTTTAGGACAGCAAATTGCATCAGGGAGGCTGCTTGAGAAGTACTCTATGAGCAAAGGTACTTGGAGCCAACATAGAAGCTAAGAAGATAGCGTATAAGAGGCTCAATGATGAAGTTAGGGTGTCTCTTAGAATGGAGTATAAGGTTGCCTCTAAGGAAGCTAAGTTAGAGGTTACGAGAGTGAAGAATTCAGCTTTCAAACACCTTTATAAGGACATAGAGGAGCGCAGTGGTAATAAAAGGTTATTTTGGCTAGCTACGGCGCGTGAGAGGAAGGCCCGAGATCTGTAACATATGAGATGTGTAAAGGACAATGATGACAAGGTTTTGTTCGAAGCAACGGAGGTGTCTAACCGGCTAACCGCAACGGAGGTGTCTAACCGATGGGGGGAAGAGAAAGGGCACTTGAGCAGGAGAACTGGGTAGTCAGAGAGGCACCGAGACTTTGGGTAGTGTACTATCGGCGCATTAGTCCTGTGGAGGTGGCAAGGGCCATCCGCGGGGTAAAAAGGGGGAGAGCCTTGGGGTCAGATGAGATTGCGGTGGAGTTTTGGAAGGCCGCGGGCAGCAGTGGGTTGGTTTAGGTAACCAAGTTCTTCAATGTTATTTTTTGGACGGCCAAGATACCTGACGAGTGGAGGGAGAGTGTGGTGATCCCACCCTTACAGAGTTAAGGGTGATATTAGAGTTGCGATACTTATAGATGCATTAAACTCTCCTTAGCCACATCATGGAGATTTGGGAGCGTATCATAGGGGCAAAAAGCAGTGTGCATTTCCGAGAATCAGTTTGGTTTCATGCCTGGGTCAACCACAAAGGTCCCGCATAGGTTGATGGAAGCTTATAGGGCTAAGGACCTTCACATGGTCTTTTTTGATATTGAGAAGGCATACGATAGGGTGCCAAGGAGATCTTGTGGAGGTGTCTTGAGTTTACAGTTTAGAGGGGTTTAAGTTGTGTGCATTTGCGCAGTTAGAGATATATATGTTGGAGCAAAAACTAGGGTGAAGACTATTGGGGCTACTCTTATCCCTTCCGTATTGCAGTGGGATTGCATTAGGGGTCTGGGTCTTCCCTAAATCCATACCTCTTTGCTTTGGTGATGGATGTTCTGTCACAGAATGTCGATGTCAAAAGAGAAGTTTTGTGGTGCATGTTTTTTACTGACGATATTCTACTCGTCAATGAGACACGATAGGGTGATGTTAGAGTTGAGTGTCAGTCCCTAGAATCCAAAGGCTTCAAACTGAGCAGGGCTAAGACTGAATCAGAAGTGGAAGTTAGGATTGATTCTCACCCAATGCCAAAGAGAGATAGGTTTTGGTATCTTGGTTCGATCCTTTAGGCAGATGGAGAGATAGACGTGGACATTGTTCATCGTATAGGAATCTCTTGGGCAAAGTGGAAGCTCGCTTCAGGGGTCCTTTGCGACAAGAAGATTTCGGCAAAGATGAGTGAAAGTTTTGTCTATAGTTAGACTGGCTATGCTTTACAGAGCAGAATGTTTGGCGGTTAAAAAAACTCACGGTCGCCAACTACATGTAGCAGAGATGCAAATGTTCAGATGGATGTGTGGGCAATCAAGGTTGGAGAAGATTCGGAGCGAGGGTATCAAGGGACGTCTGGGAGTCACAAGTACTCAATATCTTTTTTTTATTTAAAAAATCACATTCCATTTATTTAACATAACATATAATTAAAACTTTTTATATTAAATTTAAAAATATTTTTTAATTAAAATAATGGCCATTTAGTACACAAAAATGTAAAAAAAAAAGAGAAAAGGGTTGAGCTTCGAGTAAGAGCCGAGTAGTAGAACCCGAAATATATACTCAGACAAAGTACTCGGATATGTGGGGGCAGTGTACCTCGGGAACTCAAATATACTCAGAAGTACCCGGAGCCGTTCGGTTTGGAGTTCTCGGATTAGGGTACTTGGGTAGTCTTTTGGGTCTCAAAGGTAGTTTCTTTTGCTGTTTTGGGCATCAATGGCAGCTTTTTGCTCTTTTCATTGTGTGCTTTCTACGTTTGGTGCTCTTGTCCTTTCCTACTTTTTCTTTGTGCTCTTTTAGCTTGCTCTTTTTTATTCGCGCTCTGTGCTTTCTATTTTGCTCGAGTTGGGGCTCTCTTGGAAACAACCTCTCTACTTTCGAGTAGGAGTAAGGTTTCTACACACACTCTCCCCAGACCCTTCATTCGTGGGATTATACTGGGTTGTTTTTATTTTACTTCGTAAATTCATCCCTAACTTTTAATTGGGAACAGAGAGTATTAATAAAAATTTTGAGTTAAATTAACTAATTGATAGGAATTAATCTTATGATGTGGTTTGGGCCAAGTGTCTTATTACCTTACGGAATCACCCCTAACCCAATCTTAATTTCTATCGGTGTGATTGATTATCTCATGTGAGTGTTCTATTAAAGAGCAAAGGATTTTCAAAAGGAATAAAGAAAAATAAGATTTGAAGGGGAGAAGTAATTAACCTAGATTGCTAAATAGAATTCAAAACTGTTTTTGTTTTTGATACATTATACTTGGCCCAATTGTTTAGCCCTCTTCTGCATGGGTCATTGCTGACTAATCGTCTTCTTGTTTTGTAAGTATATGGGTGTTAGGCTGTTATTCTCTAACTTGCTAAGTTATAACTACTATCACTATGTTGCATTTGGCGCTTGGTTTTTCTTTAATTATGCTTTGAGACAGGCAAAACTTTTTTAAGAATAAAAGGATTCTTTATTTGATTTAAAGTAATTGAAAAAAACGCATATAAGTAATTGTTGCATTTAAATTAAGAATGAATGGTGAGTTATCAGAAAGCATATATGATGGGCTTCTCTATGGATGCAGGATATATCCTTTTGTCAATGCTTGTACCAAACATACTCAACTAAGTCAACTCAAATATTAAATCCATTTAAAACGGTTACTTTGTGGTTTATTTCACTGGCTTTCAGTGGATTTTTGAATGTTTCAAGTTAAATCAGCACGGCGGTTTTTCTATATGTACTCTTTTTTTGCACAGGTTCTACTTCTCTCTTCCTCCTGGCTTCCCCATGGAATTTTCTACCTACACCTGTTAAGACATTGGGATGGCCTTTATGAGAGCTGCTAGCCTTTTTGACTATAATGTTTGGATGGCTTTTAGTTACTGCATTTAGTTTAATTTGCCACCATTCTTTTCTGTTTCTTATGCTTGTTTAGGGAGATAATCAACATGCAAGGTGGTTATTGTTACAAAGGGTTAAAGGGAAAGAGTTTGAAGCATCATTCTCTAATGCCCGTGCAGTTGCCTCCAATAGTATAGTTCCTAGTAACAGTCTCAGTGTCATGGAAGTACGCGACATTATAAAAACAGTTGATGACATTGCGGAAGGAGGATGTGAAATGGCTGCTTTAGCAACATTGATGTATTCTCCGGTACCAATTCAAGATTGTCTTATCAGTGGGAGTGTTAGCAGAAACCATAAATCTGCTCAGGTCACATTAGAAAATCTGAGGCCTGTCCTCCAGTGCTTCCCTACATTGTGGCGTGCACTTGTCGCAGCATGCTTTGGGCAAGACCCAACTTGCAATGTTCAGGTCCCTAGGCTCAAATGTGAGTTCGCAGCAGCTTACATTTATCCTCGTGTCTGGATAATTATCTACATTATACTACACTGTCTACACACCATACCTTTTCCTGATTATGTATTTATGTATATTAAATTTGTTGCAGCCTTTGCATGTTCTGAGTTATTAGACTATTTGGCTTGGCGTGAGGATGTCTTCTTCTCTTCAGGGCGTGATACCTCACTTTTACAGATGCTTCCATTCTGGTTCCCTAAGTCTGTTCGCAGATTGGTTCAGCTTTATATCCAGGTTACTTGCTGCAGTTAGTTATTCAACTCCGTTTCATGTACTCACTCCGTTTCATAAAACGGTTCCTATTTTGACTTTTAGGAGAAATAATAAGTGTATATTTGTGGTTGACTTTCCAATTTTTCCCTTGATGTGATGGATAGATTATTAGTGAAAAAGTATGATGTGATAGGTAGGGTAAGAAAAAGTAGGGGTAAAAGTGGTTTTTAAATAGAAAGTGGAAGTGTTTTGGGAAAAACAAAAAAAATGAAAGAGGAAGTGTTTTAAGAAACGGAGGGAGTACTAGATTCATGGGAACCATCAATGAGTGAATGCAATTTTTTGTGGTTATATAATTTGCTGGTTAGAAGAGAAGGAAAAATGGAGGAGATAAATAAAAGGAAAACCCATCAATGCAAGGTTTAAAAGAGTGATAAAGTATGGAAGTTATTTGTTGTATGATATATAGTCCTTCTGTCCCATTTTAAAATGCTTGTTTTGGTTCACAATGTTTGACAAAAGTTATTTTCAATTTAATTTATATGAGAATTGGGGTGGAATTAAAAAATTAAATTTACATATTTCAAAGCTACATCTAAACAAGTGGTGACTTGACTTTTTTTTATCAAATGACTAACCAAAATTGGTAAAGAAAGTGAATAAAGTTTGACCCTATGAATAATAAACATGTTGTTTAATTTGGGAAGGAGGGAGTAATAATAAAGCCTTTTGTAAGCATTGCACTTTGCTTTTCCGTGAATAACATCAATAAACAGAAGATGCTTTGGAGGAAATGTAACTCAGTGCAGAAATTGAAATACACATGTTGGATAGTTTTTTTCTTTTGGTTCAACATATTTATAGAGTTTCTATGATCCATCCATACATGTCTGTAACATATTTTCCTAGAGCATGGATCTTTGTCAGTAATATCTTGCACTGGTTGCTGGGAGATTTGCATCATCATTATTATACCCAGTGCTTAAACGTCTAGTGTTTTAGTTTGTTAATGCATGTCAGTGTTTTTACTGTAAATGTATACAACAACTACAACAAACCCAATATAATCTCAACTACGTTGTGGTCTAGGGGTCAAGATGTACGCAACCTTACCACTGTCTAATACTGATAATAGAGAGGCTGTTTCCGTTAGACCCTTGATGTAAAGTAAGAAGCTAGGGAAGTTTAATTTACCATTTTTATCTAGGCTGTTTCTACTGTAAAATTGATTTTGCTGTAACTAAATGGTTATGTAGTGCCATAATTGGGTCCTTCAGTATTGCATATTTTCTGTAATGGCAGGGCCCACTAGGTTGGCAATCATTTGCAAATCTGCCCATGTATGACAATTTTCTACCCAGGGATGTCGATCATGCTGCTATTAGTCCCATGCACTGGGAAATTGCCATTCAGAAACACATTGAGGAGGAACTGTATGATACTTCGTTGAAGGTAAGCTGAGATCTATCTTTGTGCCCTGAAGAGATGGGGTTTTTGAGGGGATTTGATCGGCATATTCTCTAAAAGAGTAACAGATTCTGAGTAGCTGGTGCTAAATTGATATTTTGCTGAATATGGAATATCTACTTGATAATTGAAAGGGACTTAAAACTCTTGCACAATTATAATGAAAATCTTCAGGCCCCACAAATGATTCTCTTAACAAAACTGCGCATGTAAAGAAAATGTTGGGCATTATTTACTACTCATAGCGAACTAGCCTTGCATCTCACAAGCCAACTTTGCTACCAAAATGTGTGGCAGTGTGTGTGTTTGAGGAACTAGTGAGCCGTGATCGTAATCAGCTTAACCTCAGCTATGTTGGGAATCAACATTAATTGCATGAAATGGTCATCAATTATATATTTATTACGGATTATTAGTTAACACAAAAAACAAAACATAGTAGAAAAGTTTTACACCGCATGCCCTTGTCGCGATCTTCTTTTTATTTTGAAGAATAATGAGAAAAAGTTCCAAAACATTGATCATCAAAGGTTTTCACCTTGCATGGAAAATATCATGCGATGGCGATGAGTTGTAATGTTTCTTTAGTTATTGTGACTTGAGAGAGAGGGAGAGAGAGAGAGAACATCGTAATAGGAAACAAATAATAATAATTATTATTATTATTAAAATCAACCTTCTTTTTTCGGAAGATTGATTACTATGAGTAGTTCAAGACCTCTAATAGGTTTTCATCCCAGATATCAGTCTAGTTAATGAAGATACTTATCCTTTTATCATAAAATGTTCCATGAATAGTGTTTCATACTCATCAACTTAAATCCTTTTATAGGAATCTGAACATGGAATCGAACACCATTTGCATCGAGGACGGGCATTAGCAGCTTTCAGTCATCTCCTTTCCGTGAGAGCGCAGAAGTTAAAATCTGAAAGTTCACAGAGAGTGCGGCCTGGTACTTCTGCACATGGCCATAGTCATGCTATCATCCAGTCAGATATGCAGACACTCCTTGGGCCCGTAACTGAGACAGAACAGCTTCGTCTCTCATCTGTATGTACTCTTCCGTTTCCTTTATCTGAACAAGTTGATGCTTTCTATGTCGTGCCATGTAGGATGCTAAATTATGCATGTGCAATTGAGACTTGTCTCTTTCAGCAACAGCATTGTATTTTCTTACCATATAAGAATACAATGTATCTCTTTCGAGTACCCTTTTTGTCTTCAACCTTAATGTGTCTTAAATATCTTCGCTCATTCGAGATTATATTCGCAGAGAGTGGGAAAAGGTTGTGGTGAATGACTCTAAGTCTAAATGAAATTCAAGACCTTTATGATGGAGTGAGATGTACTTGCTTTCATATATACTTGACTTTTCTGTTATGAATTTGAAGGGTTTACAACTTCTATTGGATGTTGTGTGTGTGAAAATGGAACTTGACACCTTGTTCTAGAGTCAAGTTTATGATATTAGGCTGCAAGGTCCTTGGCTTTGTAGAAAGGTTGATTGAATGTAATAAAAATGCAAAGGAAGGGGATTATTCTTATTAATTAGAATTCTTTAAAAAGCTCGGCTATGGTAAAAGCAGTGATGTAGAAATTGGCCTAGAAGGCTATCTAGGTGTCTGCTCGACGCTCCTAGTTGGCATTTAACAAACATCTATCTGTTAATACACCGTTTTTTTTGTACCTGATAGAAATGCTGCTTATGCTAGACATAATATGCATCTATATATAATGGAGTACTCCCTCCGTTCTTTTATAACTGTCTTTTTGTTTGTTTTCTGTGCCATACTTTTACTAACGATATACAAAAATATACAATGGATTAAAATATCAAATTTATACCATGATATTTGTATTGAAAAATATGTTTAATATTTAATTTTAAATAATGTTTTGCGAATATATTTTAAGAGATATTGTTGGTCAAATGTAAGAGAATGAGACAGTTTAAAAAGAATGGACGGAGTATATATTTTGAAATTTGGCATTTGTAAAAGACTAGGGTAGGGAACCTGACTGGCTCCTGATGGATGCCTATTGATATCTGCAGCCATGGTTAAAGGAGTCAGGTTTAACTGTCTTCTATAGTTATTGGTGAAGTCAACCATGTGAGTATAGTTGAATCTATCCTATGTATATGTTGCTTCTATCTAGAAATATCTGAACTGTCCTCCATAAAATATGCCACGGAGAAGGAAGGCTGCATTTTGAGAATTCTGTGTGAATTCTCTATTTTGAGAATTTTTCATCTTATTTGAATTTTAGGTCATTCCCCTTGCTATTCTGCATTTTGAGGATTTTGTGTTGGTGGCTTCTTGTGCATTTCTATTAGAGTTATGCGGTCTCCCTGCCCGCACCATCAAAATTGATGTTGCAGCATTGAGAAGGATATCTTCCTTTCAAAAATCTGGAGATTATGCTGATCATTGTAGACAATGTTCTACCAGGAGTCCATCTCAAGCCACTATTGAAGGTGACATAAGTGAATCGCTTGCCCGGGCACTGGCAGATTATTATCGTCACCATGATTGTCTTGAGTTTGGTAGTAAAAAAGATAACCAGCCTACCATCACCAGTAAGCACCAATCTCAAGCTACCATGCTGGTTCTGCACCACTTGGAAAATGCAAGTCTTCCTCAAGTTACAGAAAGAGCAACATGCGGATCCTGGTTGTTGACTGGTAATGGTGATGGTGTTGAATTGAGATCTCAGCAAAAAACTGCAAGCCAGCATTGGAATTTAGTGATAGATTTTTGTCATGCACATCATGTCCCTTTGAGCAGTAAATACCTTGCAGTATTGGCAAGGGACAATGACTGGGTATGTCTTCAGTGTGGTGCCTTATTAAGCATAATATTATTTAGCATTTCTTTGGCAATGCAATAAATAGCATATTCTTTTTCTGCTAGGTTGGATTTCTTTCAGAAGCTCAGATTGGAGGTTACCCTTCTGAGACTGTAATTGATGTTGTAAGCTCCTTAGCCTTTCTCAGAAATTGCCGATCCTTGGTGAATTTCACCACATGATGTAGTTTTGTTACCAACTGACTGATAGTTTTGATGTTTCTTATGTACTCCCTTCTCAAATATTAATTCCTGTGTAATGCTTTTCAGGCATCTAAAGAGTTCAGTAATCCAAGACTAAAAACACACATATTGACAGTTCTAAGAAGTATGCAGGCGAGAAAAAAAGCAAGCTCCTCATCAGGCTTTCATACTGCTGAAAAGGAGGGACAAACTTCTTTATCAAAAGAAAACCACTATGCACCTACGGAATTATTTGAAATTATAGCCGATTGTGAGAATAAGAATAACCCTGGACAGGTTCTTCTCCAAAAAGCTCAGAATTTGTGTTGGTCACTGTTGGCCATAATTGCATCTTGTTTTCCAGATGTCTCTCCTTTGTCGTGCCTTACGGTTTGGCTGGAAATTACTGCAGCAAGGTCACCCATTATCAATTGTTTTTTCTGTTGATCATATTTTCATACATCATGTTCTCTTGATCATTTGCTATCAACAAATACTTTTTGCATACTCTTTATTCTGCTTCTAATTTTATTTTCTTTCCAGGGAGACTTCAGCTATCAAGGTTAGTAACATTGCTTCTCAGATTGCAAATAATGTTGGTGCAGCAGTGGAAGCAACTAATTCTCTTCCAGCAAGTGCTAGAGTTCCAACTGTGCATTATAACCGAAGGAATTCAAAGCGTAGGCGGTTGTGGGATCCCATGTTTATGAATTCTTCAATTTTTACAGAACCTAAAGTATCTTCAGCCTATAGCAATGTAAGGGTTAATGGTATTAATGCTGAAGATGAAATGGAGAAGCAACTAGTTCATGATGAAAAAACTTCTATTGATTTCACTGAAGTATGTGCTTCTTTATCAAGGATGGTTGCAGTTCTATGTGAAAAGAATTTGTTCCTCCCTCTTCTTAGGGCTTTTGAAATGTTTCTTCCTTCATGTTCTCTCCTACCCTTTATCCGTGCTCTCCAGGTTTGTTCCCTAGGTTTGTTAAACGTGTGCCATATCATCATGTTATTTGCTTGTTATAAGAAGTGGTTCAGGTTATGCAGTAATTTCTTTGTGCTTTAAATCGTTAGTAGGTTGGTAATGTCTTTCTGAAGTAGATGTGCATTCTGTTAAATATGGTCCATCTATTTTCTTAGTTTATAAGTTAATGAAATTTATATAGAAGTTCAGACATCAATATTTCTATATTTAAATATGTATACTCTTGTTTAATTTTAGGCTTTCTCACAAATGCGCCTGTCTGAAGCTTCAGCACACCTGGGATCCTTTTCCGCCAGAATTAAGGAAGAACCTCAAACACATACACAAATGTGGAACGGACAAGCTGGGAGTTTTTGGATATGTTCTACAGCTGTCAAAGCTGCTGATGCAATGCTCTTAAAATGTGCATCACCTTATGAAAAGAGATGTTTACTGCAGCTCCTTTCTGCTACTGAATTTGGTGATGGGGGTTCTACTGCAGCATCATATCGACGACTTCTTTGGAAAATAAATTTGACAGAACCCTCATTACAAAAAGATGAATGCCTTCACCTATCAAATGAGTTCGTGGATGATTCTTCACTACTAGTTGCATTGGAAAAGCATGGTTATTGGGAGCATGCACGGAGTTGGGCAAGACAGTTAGATGCTGGTATCGGATCTTGGAAATCTGCAGTCCATCATGTTACTGAAATGCAGGTAGCACATTCTTATCCTTACCTCTCACAAATAGTTATGTTGAATTATAAAAAACCTGGTTTTGAAACCTCATAATTATGTTACAGACCTAGGGGTTTAATTAATTATCAAGTACTCCGTACTATTATTAGCCCTCTATTATAATTTGTATTATTATTTATTTATTTTTATTAGTTTCCCAATACTATTTATTATAATTAGCTTCCTATTATTATATGGAATATTATTACTTGCCTATTAGTATTGCTGTTTTATTTTGGTTAATATTTTTAAGGGATTCGTAATAAGGACTTATGCTTCCTAGTATAATTATGGTAGGACTCTTTTTGTATCCATTGGATTTGTTAATAAAATTATGATTGGAGTCAAACCCTAATTCTGAGAAGCTAGTCACAGACTCTCTCTTTTCTTCCCGCCACGGGCAAAGAAGGATCAATACCTTCTTCTTTGTTTGCTTATCGACCTTGGAGAAGATCCGAGATCAAAACCCTTAACAGATTAGATTAGCTTGTTACGAGACTCAATATTTTTTTTGTATATAAGTATTCCATTAGTCCTTAAAAGATTTCAAGTTGATATAAATAGAAGTCTTGTTATTCAAGATTGCCTCGTAGAGTAACTCTAAACTATTTTAGACTACTGTCAGACTTCCTAGCATTCTAGTGTCATTTTTGATGAACAATACCATCTCTTCACTTTCACATGGAATTTCACCACGACTCTACACTAAAATGAGAATCTCCTAACCCTTCTACACAACACAACTTTACAAGCTGTGTCAGTCCAATTCCAATGATCGTCTGGGATAAAATTATCTAGTTCCACCCGACTGTAATTTTTTCCATTTTAGTAACATCTTTTAAGTTTCTTTTTGCAAAAAATGGTGGTAAATTGGGAAATATCTGTACAACTCTTTTTCTTTTAACTTAGGAAAACAATAAACCCAGGTCTATTTATCTTCTAAATATCTAGGGTACTCATGTCCATATTACTACACTGTATGGCTCCAAAATGTTCATGATTGAGCTATGCCCTTTGGAATGTGGTTTATGGGGCAGTCCGGCAGTGTGTGGAAGCCGGAGGAATACCATTTAAGTGCAGGGGTTGTGTAAATCCATTTTAAACAAGATCTCTTGAAGAAAGTTGATGCGAAATTCTGTTCTGGCCATTTGGCTTATCTTCTAAAAATCTAATTTTGCAATTTCTGCATATTCTCATCCCAGAATTAGCTAAGTGTTGCGTTTGTTTTAGATTCTAAAACAATCAGTTGATGATTTTGCTTCAAAAATAGTCAACTGCTTGATTCTTCCCAGGAAATGTTTTTTAGTAAACTGCTTAATTTTACAGAATCAGCAAATTGTGAAATAGTTGGTTTTGAGAACCGAAATTGCCAAAAAGTAGAATCAAAGCCAAACAAAGCTGTAGGTTAGTATTACTGTCCCGAGCCCTTTCAAGATTTTTTTTGGGAAAAGTACAAAAATAGTGCCTTGTGGTATGGATGGTTGAATATAGCGTTCTCAAACCTAGTGGTAGATCACTTGAACATAAGGTTAGACAAGAAAATTTTGTGTGGGATTATTTTTTTATTAAAAAAAGGAATTTTAAGGCATGCCTCATATTGAGGCTAAAGAGGACTGCACCGAGTCTTTCACATTGATTCTCTTTAAGGAGAACCGCACTAATTGATTTTCTGTGGCGATGCTTTCTCGAAGCCTCAATGGCGAAATCTCAATCACCATTTGCACCATCGTTAACCAGGAGCCACACATTATATCCTTTTAATTGGAGTTGTCACGTAAAGTTTATTTATATGAATACAAGTTTTGTTATTAAAACGACTGGAGTTAAAAACAATTGCCTAGAAGTCCACTTGCTAATTATATTTAATATTAACAAAAGGCTTACTAATTTAAACACTGTTCTTTTACAGGTTAATTATATCTATTGCTTATTGTTTGTTAGTGCCAAGTGCTTTCCAATCTAATTCACTAGTCTTCATTGTGATATTAATAAATGTGCAGCATAAGATTTGGTAGACGAATATGTTCAAGCTTTGACAATATCTTTCATATTTTTAGTAAATTATGTACCAGGGTTACTTTAATTTCTCTATTTTACATTGCCTTCATCCTCTATGTGCATATGTCTAGGCTGAGTCTATGGTTGCTGAGTGGAAAGAGTTTCTTTGGGACGTCCCAGAAGAAAGAGTTGCGTTATGGGGCCACTGCCAAACACTATTTCTTAGGAACTCTTTTCCACCCTTGCAGGTAATTCATCTACTCTTGCTCTCATTTACGGAGAACTTTGCTGGATGAGTTCATTGGTTTGACTTTGAGATGTCTAACATATTTATTTGTTTGATGGCTCTTATTTAATTCCCTTACAAGAACTGTAGTTTGGTGTTTTAATTTGTAGGCGGGACTATTTTTTCTTAAGCATGCCGAGGAAGCAGAGAAGGATCTGCCGGCCAGAGAGCTTCATGAACTATTAATGCTTTCTCTGCAATGGTTGAGTGGGATGATAACTCAATCTAATCTGTAACTATCCATTACAATCCTTCTGGTTAAAAGTTTAGGTTATAATGTCATAATTTTAATTATAACAATATTTTCAGAGTTTATCCATTGAACCTCTTGAGAGAGATTGAAACAAGAGCATGGCTACTCGCTGTCGAATCAGAAAGTCAAGTGAAGAGTGAAGGAGATATCACCTCAAAAAGATGCAACCAGGATATTACCACTAGCAAGAGCTATAATATTGTTGAGCACACTGCAAGTATTATAACTAAAATGGATAATCACATTAACAATTTGAGGGGTAAATTTGTCGAGAGGACTGACACAAGAGAAAATAACCTGACACATTCACGGACCTCTCAAGTTCTTGATTCTGCTTCTTTTGGTGCTACTACAGCAAGTGCTAAAGCAAAACGTAGATCCAAAGGCTTTGTTCCATCGAGAAAGCCTTGTGTTGATGTCATAGAGAAAGGCAATGAATTTGAAGGCTTCTTCCAGTTCAGTCTAAAAAATGATTCACAGATAGTAGATGAGAACGTTAAAGTGGAATCTTTCTCCAGGTGGCAAGAAAGAGTGGAACCTGTTGAGCTGGAAAGGGCCATACTTTCATTACTGGAATTTGGGCAAGCAGCTGCTGCTAGGCAGCTTCAACAGAAATTGTCTCCTGGAAACATCCCATCTGAATTCATGATTGTGGATGCTACTCTTAAGCTTGCTGCTTTATCTACTCCAAACCAAAAGGTTTTACTATCAGCATTGGATGATGGAGTGTGCTTCATCATGCATTCATACAATCTTATTTCTGATCAGCACATGATTGACCCCCTGCAGGTATTCATTTGTGTTTCCTTAAATATTTGTATGTTCTAAGAGGCATGCACCAATGCTATATATTCATTTGCGGAAAGGCTATTCTGTCTAACAGTGGCATTCCCACATGTACCTTCAAAAGTTGATGTTTTTAGCATGCCATCTTGCTTGTTTCTTATGGACTCTTCTCTTAAATAGCTGAATCACTTATGGATGAAAATTAATACTGATTAATGTTGGTTAATTCCGGTCGAGCACTTAGTTTAAATTTTAAAAAAACGGAGCAGTTAGGCAGTTTTTCAGGCAGTTTCTGACAGATGTGTTGGTTAGTAACTTTTATGTCTGTTTGTAATGGTTGTGTTGGTTAGTCCTCTATTTATATGTAAAATATCAAACACAGATCTGTGATCAGTACTTTTCTTGCAATACACCTTGAAAAAAATAGTCTGTGATGGAGGCCATCAATACTAAAAAAACAAATGATGTTGTTGCTGTTACCCTAGTTCGAGATGGAGGCTCGACAACGTACCAATGTCCTATACTCACTACAACAAATTATACGTCTTGGGCTATCAAGATGCAGTCGTTTATGGATGCCCAAGGAATTTGGGATGCCATAGAACCACCAGATGCGACGGAGGTGGATGTCAAGATCCGGAAGAAGGCAAGGGCCTTTATCTTCCATGCACTACCGGAAGATATTCTTATGCAAGTAGCAGGACATGCAGAGGCCAAGGGCATGTGGGAAGCACTCAGGGTGCGTTATCTTGGAGCCGATCGGGTTAAACAAGCACGAATCCAAACTCTGAACAGAGGGTTTGAAATGTTGAGAATGAAGGAAAGTGAGAGTATTGATGATTTTGCAAGCAAGATCAGCAATATCGTGTCTAAGGTTCGGGCACTTGGATCGACAATCGAGGAGAAGAAACAAGTAAATAAGTTGCTTAATTTTGCCACAAACAAGTTCCTTCCAATAGTTGCCACAATAGAACAGTATTCAGACTTGAACACTATGACATTTGAGGAAGCTGTTGGTAGCCTTAAGGCCTATGAGGAACGGATTACACCTAGTGGACCAGCCAAAGATTCATCAGATCAGTTGTTGTTAACAAGGGCTGAATGGCAAGAAAGACAGAAAACCGAGTCAAGGCAAGCTGGCAGGGGTTGTGGAACGGGATTTAGTGATCACCGTGGCTGAGGTCGTGGGCGTGGCGGATCTAGCGGTCGTGGACGAGGGGGCCAAAACCCCTCAAATAATAATCAAAGTTTTGGACAGGATGAACAAGGTGGTAAACGTGACCGAAAGAACCTGCGGTGTTATAATTGTGATAAGCTTAGTCATTTCTCTGCCGAGTGTCGGGCTCCTTGAAGAACCGATGATGAAGCTAATCTAGCAAAGGAGGATGATGAACCCACTTTGCTAATGGTAAAGAATGTACACGATGTGGTGATGCCGAATGAGGAGAGAGTGTTTCCTTGTGAATATGCCAAAGAAAACAGCAAGGAAGGCACATGGTATTTAGATAATGGTGCTAGCAATCACATGACCGGGGAACGGGGTTATTTTAGCAACGTCGATGAAAAGATAGTGGGACATGTGAAGTTTGGAGATGGTTCAACAGTTGAAATCAAAGGCTGAGGGTCTATTCTTTTGCAATGTAAGAATAGTGACCAGAGGCTCATCACCAATGTCTAGTATATTCCGGACTTATGTAATAATATACTAAGTTAGGGTCAACTTGACGAGGTGGAATGCAAAATTCATATGGAGGACGGTTTTCTTTGGCTATATGGTTGATCAGGAGCAACATTGTTGAAAGTGAAGAAGTCTCCAAACCGACTATATAAGGTACATCTTCATATAGTTCCACCAACATGTTTACTTGCAAAGATGGACAAGGCAGCCTGGATTTGACATGCATGCCTTGGACATTTAAACTTTGATGCTATAAGGAGGTTATCGAAAGAAATATTGGTGATTGGTGTGCCAAACATAAATCACAAGTCACAATTATGTGAAGCTTGTCTCGTTGGGAAGCAACGATGTCTTCCATTCCCATCAAAAATTTCTTATCGAGCACAACAACCCCTTGAACTGATACATGCTGATCTATGTGGTCTCATTACACCGAGGACACCATGTGGGAACAAGTACTTTCTATTGCTTGTTGATGATTTCAGCAGATTCATGTGGGTATATGTTATCAAGTTCAAAGACCAAGCATCTGAGGCATTCAAAAAGTTCAAGAAGTCTGTTGAATTGGAAAGTGGTTACAAGGTGAAAGCATTGAGAACTGATCATGGAGGTGAGTTAGTCTCGACCAACTTTGAACAGCTTTGCAATGAAGAAGGTATAGATAGGTATTTAACCGCACCATATACGCCACAACAAAATGGTGTGGTTGAACGCCGAAACCAAACTGTTCTTGGAACCACAAGATCTATGTTGAAGGCCATGAATTTACCCCAATGGTTGTGGGGGGAAGGTGTACGATATGTTGTCTACATCTTGAACCAAACTCCGACAAAAGCTTTGGAAAAGAAAACCCTATATGAAGCTCTAAAAAGACGGAAGCCCAATTTGGAACACCTAATGGTGTTTGGATGTATGGCCCATGTCAAGGTACCAAGTACCAACACCCAAATTAACAAAGCTGGCAGACAGGAGTGAGTCAATGGTACGTCTCGGGAGTGAACCAGGAAACAAAGCATACTGGCTTTACAACCCAAAGACAAAAAGGCTATGTGTTAGCAGGGAAGTCCAAGTTGAAGAAAACAAAGCGTGGGACTGGGCTAAGGATTTGGAGACAGAGGGAAATGAAAGGCAGGTTGAATTTGTTGTTGAAAATGAAGCTTGTGTGACTGGTCAAGGATTGACTCAAAATGGTGGCAGCCCACTCAATACCTCAATCCGAAGACCTGGCTGCTCCAATCGTACAGAGTGGGAGTGAATCTGTTAGCCCACCGGAGAATTGTTCATTGTCTAGCCCAAAAACGCCTGCTTCAGTTCCAAGCACTCTTATCAGCCCACTAAATGTTCCAAACAGCCCGTATGAGTTTGAAAACCTTGGTACATCAGGTGCAAGTCCTATTTCAAGTTCATAATATGATGATACACCCCCTCGATACAAGAGAAGGCTTTCCATCCCCCTCACTTTGATGACGCAGAAGTATTACTATCCAATGAAGAACCAAGTACCTTTAATGAAGCCAAAGATAGCAAAGAATGGAATGCTGCAATGCAAGACGAATTTGACTCTATTGAAAGGAATGGAACGTGGAAATTGGTTGAACTCCCGAAAGGAGTTAAACCGATTGGTCTGAAGTGGGTTTATAAAGCCAAAAGGGATGCGAAAGATAATATAATTCGCTACAAGCAAGACTCGTTGCAAAGGGGTATGTCCAGAAACATGGTATTGACTACGATGAGGTGTTTGCTCTAGTTGCCCGAATGGAATCAGTTCGTTTGCTTCTATCCCTAGCTGCACGAAATGGGTGGGAAGTTCACCATCTTGATGTGAAGGCGGCTTTCCTATATGGACTTAAAGGAGGATGTATATGTATCACAACCTGAGGGGTTCGAGAAGCCAGGAAAGGAACATCTCATGTGCAAACTGGTAAAAGCTTTATATGGCCTGAAGCAAGCCCCAAGAGCCTGGAATTCAAAGCTAAATGCAACTCTACAACAACTTGGTTTCAAGCGTTGTCCACATGAACATGTTGACAATGTTGTATACAAGCGAACCACAAAGAATGGACTATTAATAGTTGGTGTATACGTTGATGATCGTTGGGTTCAAAAGACACATGAAAAATTGTTTTTGAAATGAGTGATTTGGGGCTTCTAACATACTATTTGGGAATAGAGGTGAATCAGGACCAAGCTGGCATTACTTTGAAGCAAACAGGATATGCATCAAAGGTTTTAAAAAATGCAAATTTATGGGAGTGTAATCCTGCAAAGTTTCCTATGGATCCAGGTCTCAAGCTTGGAAAAGATGAGGAGTTGGAGTCTGTTGATGCAACTAAGTACTGAAGGAATATTGGGTGTCTTCGATATCTAACCCATACAAGGCCAGATATCAGTTATGCAATTGGAATAACCAGTCAATTCATGGAGTCACCAAAAACATCACATATGCAAGCTGTAAAACAGGTGCTGTGATATGTGAAGGGTACAATCAATTATGGGATTCGATACTGGAGGAATGGCGATGCAAATTTGGTTGGTTATACTGATAGCTCACATGCGACTGTTTGGGCAGATGGAAAGAGTACAACTGGGATGATTTTCTCTTATGGGGGTGGTCCGATAGCATGGTGCATCCAAAAATAGAATACGGTTGCACTATCTTCATGTGAGGCTGAGTTCATGGCGGCAAAAGCAACCGCATGTCAAGCCGTCTTGTTAAAAGGTTTGCTTGAAGAAATCACTGATCAAAGCATGGAAGTATGGAACCCATAACAATTCACGTGGATAACATGTTAGACAAAAGTGCAACTCTAGAGGGGGGGTGAATAGAGTTGTTTTCAAGAATGTACGTTTTTCGTAAAAATTATCGCAGGAAAAAGTAAGGAGAGTAAGGGAAAGAAGAACACCGGGATTTATACTGGTTCACCACCTCGTGGCTAGTCCAGTCCTCCGAGAGACTCTCGAAAGTCCTACTAATCTTCAAGCTTCAACGGGTGCTTGAAAAACCGGTACAACTTGAGAACTTGAATCACACAAGCCTCACTTTCTTACAACAACAAGACTTGAGTCACACAAGTCTTAAGAACAACACTCAAATGAAATTGAGTTTACAACACAAGAATGAAAGCTCACACAATTGAGCAAAGTAGTGTTGAAAGATTTAAGCTCTATGGATGACAACTTCTATAGCACTCAAAGAAAAAATATTTCTAACTCTCAAAAATAATATTTTGATGAGGAAAATGAAGCAAAGTATGAATAGCTCAGGGAAATATGTTGGAGTGCAAGAGGTGTATTGAAATGAAGGAGAATGAGGGATTAAATAGGCTGAGAAAAATAAAGCCGTTGAAGAAAGCTGATGTTCTGTACCAGAGAGAATTAATCGATTAAATTAGGAATTTTAATCGATTAAAGTGTACAGAAGCAAAAAGCCTGAAAAGAAAGCTGAATAATAATCGATTAAATGAAGGCAAATAATCGATTAATAGGCTCTGTCCGAACTAATCGATTAAATGCTTAGAAATAATCGATTATTGTTCAAAAATGAGCAGCCCTATAGAAAGGCTTAAAAATCGATTAAAATGAAGCAAATAATCGATTAGGAGGTACTGTCCAAGCTAATCGATTTTTTTAAGAGAAAAAATTGATTAAGAATTCAAATGCGCTGGATCTAATCGATTATTTTAAAGGAAATAATCGATTAAAATGNNNCTTTGGCTTCTAACTCGTTGTTTGAGACAACGAGAATAAGAAACGCTCCTACGATTAAATCCCCCTTATTCAATTAATTTGAGTAGGGGAGAGAAAAAGAGAGTCCAAAAATTATTTTGTGTGTCAAACAATACACGAAAAAATATTTAAAGTATATTTTCTCACCAAAGAAAATTGTGTAACTTTAAGAAAATGTTTAAAGAAATTTTTGACACACTTATTTTGAGATTGACTCACTAAAATATTTTAGACAGAGAAAAAATGATTTTTCAACTGACTCAAAAATAATTTTTATCCCTCAGAAATTCAATTGTTTTGTGCAAAAGATATTGTCATCCTTACAAAAATCCTAGACTCAATAAAAATTAAAAAGTCTTCGGAGTCTTCACATCACTTAAAAAATCTGCGTAGGGGTGATCGTCAATTTTCATCGCCGTAAACTTCTTGATACGCCTCTTTTCTTTTCTCGGTACGAAAAGTAAATTTTCGATCATCGTTTGAATTTCATCATCCTGTTTGTCATTTATCAAAACAAAAAATATTCCAGAGAAAATAATAAAGGGGTTTGAACTCATGTCCAACATAACAAGGCTGCAATCATGTTAATGAAGAATCCAGTGTTCCATGGGAGAAGTAAGCATATTGACACTCGATATCATTTCATTCGTGAATGTGTCGAGAAAGAGCTAGTAACAATTGAGCATGTAAGTGGTGACGAGCAGAAAGCTGATATCTTGACAAAAGCATTACCGAGGGTCAAGTTTATTGAGATGAGGCAACTGATGGGCATTGAAGATTTGGCAGGAATGAGGACTAGAATCAAGGGGGTGAATGTTGGTTAATTCCAGTCTAGAACTTAGTTTAAATTTAAAAAAAAGGAGCAGCAGTTTTTCAGGTAGTTTCTGACAGATGTGTTGGTTAGTAACTGTTATGTCTGTTTGTAATTGTTGTGTTGGTTAGTCCTCTATTTATATGTATGGACACATAATTCTGGACAGTAGTATCACAATAAAACACTCTGTTTATATACTCCAGATCTGATTTTTTTCTATCATGTAATTCAAGAGTAGAGGAGGAATAGGGATGTCAGAGTCATGCCACCTCTTAGATTTAGGGGCCGTTTGTTCCAGCCTCTTAATGGTTGAGATGTCTGAATGGTTCAGCACTTAATGGTTCAGACTGTTTGTTTCAGCCTCTTAATGGTTCAGATGTCTGAATGGTTAAGAGATTTGCCTCTGAATGGTTAAGACCTCTTATCTGAATTGATCAGACATTTGCCTCTGAATAGTTAAGCAATATACTAGCTCTTAATGGTTCAGACCTCTTACTAGTTCTGCACTTAATGGTCCAGACTCCGCACTTACCGATTCAGAAGTTGCCAAACAGCCCCTTAATCTTTTATGGACAATATCACACTTTTGAGTTGATTTGGAACTGAATACTTGTTTGCTGGTTCTACTTTACATATGTCTAGTCCTTTTAACTGTTGTAGTGCATATCCATGATTCATTTTTGCATTATAATTACAAATTTGCTTGCTTCCAGGTATTGGAGAGTTTAGCATATGTCCCTGCAGAGGGCAGGGGACGAGGACTCTGCAAGCGGGTCATAGCCATTGTCATGTCAGCAAATGTTTTGGGCCTTACGTTTCATGAGGTATTTGAAAAGCAACCAGTTGAAATTTTACAGTTGCTCGCTCTCAAAGCGCAAGATTCATTTGAAGAAGCGAATATCTTGGTGCAAACTCATCCTATGCCAGCAGCTAGCATTGCTCAAGTTCTTGCTGAGTCTTTTCTGAAGGTAGATTCTTTCCCTTTCTGACACATTTAAAATAAACATGTATGAAGATGTAGAAGCCTTTTTTATATTCCCCACGGTTCCTTTGACATCAGGTTTGTGTGTCATATTATGACACTAGCGTCCTAAGGTGCTCCATTAGGCCCCGAAGTGGGTCTTACCCCCTACCCCCCAAGTGTTGGTGTCTAAATATCCCTGGTCTAATTGCTCTTTTGTATTTCTGTTTGTCTTTTCATAGTTAGACTCTTTGGGTATCTTATATCTTATTAATACTAGGGTTGCATATAATTTCTATCAAATCATTAGCAAACTGTCTTATATCTTATTTAATACTGTATATGGTTTTCTGATTAGAAGCCACCTTCATGTGGCTTCTTTGGAGAATGTCTTAGCATGGTGTCTGATTAGAAGCACACCTTATGTAACTTCTTTCAGTCAGATTTTCAAGCAATGTTACTTATCCAGGTAAACAATGTAGGAACATGAACATTGTAACTCCACATTTTTCTGGTTTATTTTTAGCTAAACACCTGCCAGTTTTGTGTCTTCACTAGACTTCCAATTTAACCCTACTTTTGGCACTAGGATTCAGTTCAGTGCTCAGGGGTTTTTCAAGGATCTTCCAAAGCTTCAAGTCCGGGGTAATGTGAGAGTTGTCTCTCTTGTTCACTATGGATTTCCAAATAACCTTGTGTTTTTGTTGTCCACCCAAGAAGCGCTATCTTTGTCCTTTTCTTGTGCAAGCTATGGTTGCCTTTAGTATCTTTAAAGACCCTGTTTTGCACACAAAAAGTCTTTTATGATTCTTTCTTTGGGATGCCACCACTCCATAGACACTGCACGTAAGAAGTCTTTTCATCACCGGAGAAGTCTTGTCTTTCTCCTTTTGGCAATTGCTGCCTTCGACATATTTTCAAAACCCAGTTTTTCAGAAGATTGTGTGGTTCATTTTGGGTTCATGCACCACTTGCTATTGAGGGTTTACTACCACTTGCTCTGTTTCTGTAATGTGAAGGAAGGGGAAGGTTCCCATGACATTGGTTCCCAATGTCATGGGAACCAAGGTGGTGAAGGAATTCATATTTTTAGGAGTCTTTTCATTTTTTTAAGATGGACCCTTAGGTATCTTATACTCCGTAATCTATAAATACAAGGCTCTTGTTGTCTTCATTATTCTCTAGTCTATCCATCTTGCAGTGAAGTTTAATAGTTTATGCTTTGACTTCAAGGAGTTAAAGAAATGTGTTGAAAAGTGAAATGTGTGGTTGGAATTTGTTTAGAAGAGAGAAATGTTATGAACCACATATCTCTTTTCTAGAAAGAGATGGAGAAGAGTAAAGTTTATTTTGGTACGGATAGAAAAGGGAAGTGTAAACTTTATTGCGGGATGGAAGGAGTGTGATACTAGTATACTAGTGTCAATATTACAAGAAAGACTCTTTTGTGTAATACTAGTGTCAATATTACACTTGATGCCCCCCTCCCTCCCCCTGCCACTCACACACCCGCACACACCAAAAAAGTCATGTGTGTAATACTAGTATACTAGTGTCAATATTACAAGAAAGACTCTTTTGAGACTGAGGTCATATAAAACTCATGTCATAATGTGTCAAAAAATCATGCAGCATTAACCCATTATAATCTTTTAGTCCTTTGATGCATTGCTGCATTTACTGCATTGTTGGGGTCTAACTTCTAAGGGGTCAAGTGTATGCAACCTTACCCCTGTAAAAATTGAGAGGTTGTTATCAATAGACCTTTGATGCATTGTTGCATTTGTCCAAAACTTCATTGGAAGTAAGAAGCAAGTGAAGTTTAATGTGTCATTTTGATTTAGTCCATTATTACTAGAAGCTAAAACATTGTAAAATGACTCTTTTAGCTCCATTGGCATTGGGCAGAAACAATAATAATTACCTCTGTTGTTGTTTTATTGATGCTGAATTTCTATTATATTGAGAGATGCAGCCTTCATGACTGCAATGCTGATTTGTGGTTTTTTTATCCCCGTTAATTGCTCTTTAATTTATAGGGATTGCTAGCAGCACATCGTGGGGGGTATATGGATTCACAAAAGGATGAAGGACCTGCCCCTTTGTTATGGAGATTTTCTGATTTCTTAAAGTGGGCTGAGCTTTGCCCTTCCGAACCAGAAATAGGCCATGCTTTAATGCGTTTGGTAATCACCGGGCAAGAAATACCACATGCCTGTGAGGTAATGTCTTAAACGTATACCTTTTCATTTATGAGTATCTATTCCTACTTACAGTGGGAATTTAAAGTGAGATTGTGAATAGTAATCCGAACTGAAAAAAAAATCATTGTTTGTTAGGCAAGAATGAGATTAAAACAAGGGATGAGGATGTAAAATAGAGGCCCTATTTCCACTATAATACACCTTGGGCTTGCGGGTAATTAAGGGATGGGATAGAATGACCAAAATCCCATTGATGGAGAGAATGGGAAGAGTATTTAGTAAGGGTAGGTCAATAAAGTTATTGTATGTTCCCAATTCCCATACCTTTTGCCAATGCCATCCAAACAAGGGGTTGGTGCTATTTTATTGAACCGTTTGTCAACAATTCCACTCCACATCTCACCTCAGACCCTCTATAATCTCCAAATTCACATGACCACATATGAAACTCCCCTTAATGTTGACCTGACTTATTGGACAAGGCT